TGTGGGTGGGTGGGTGTGGGTATGGATGTGGATGTGGATGTGGGTTATTCGTTTTCAATCATTCATATCCACACCCACACCCACTCTCATGTAGCCTGATCTCATTAATATATTTTCTTTTGTTAGTCATCATATTTCGTCATACTAGATGTTACTTTGTTCGAAAGCTCAATAATATGCGAGCTGAAGAAACATTGCCAGAAGGTTTTTGTAATCAAGATCAACAAACAAATTTTGTCAATCAAGCGAACAAAAATTTTGCATTAGCAAAGATTCTTGTTTGACAATGGATCAAAAAACCAAGAGTTGACTGCTGTACAGCAACCGGCCTAGCTGAAATGTATTAGACTTTGGGGATGAGAGTGTAATATTCAAGACAATCGACATCACTCACACACTTTCTCAATGTGTAGTATTCCCATTTTTCACTTCATTGTTGATATATTATACTGGAATAGAAAAGAAACAAAAAGATTTTCTGAAACGCATCGGCCTGGTTAGTGATGATCCGACTGGTGAGGTTGATGGACAATATTTAGTTTTCAAAATCGTCCAATTTTTATTGAATCAAAGATTCATTTAGATTTGTTGAATATCAAAGGAACTCTTTAGAGAATAAGAAACTGATATAACAAAGACGATGTTTACCAGAGAGATTTTTATCTTGTTCAATCGAAATTGAATTATTCGATTCGAAATTATTCTTTAGTGAAATAATTTTGTTCAATTGAAACTGAAGTGAAATGTTTGTGAATCTATTGAAATGACTTCAATCTCATACATAAAATGACAATTCAGTCCGAATTCTATTCATCTGTTTGAAATTGAAGCAATTTTATTGTTGTTCAATGTTTTGTGAAAAGTAAAATCTCGTCATTTTCACACAATGTTCAAAGAAAACATTTGACAAACACAAAATCATCTTGTTTCTATTTAATTTTTTGGCTTTAGTGTTCAACATGATTCTTTATTGAAGATCAAAATCCAATGAATTTTACTGATATTCCAGGAATTGATTTTGTCGTTTGTCAATTTGAACTTTTTCAATCCGGAACAAAATGTTTGATTTCGAGACAAAGAACATTTTTATCATGATTTCGATTTATCTTCATGCACCTTTTATTGATCGAATGATCATTAAGGTGGATGTGGTGTGGGTGTGAGTGTCGGCGCAGATTAACAGAATACACACACCCACACTCACCCCCTCCGAATCCTGACCCTAGATAACCTATAGTAACGTTTCATCAAAAGGTACAAAAAGCTTAAAATCGACAAGATCGTTTCTGATTGGTCGGCTTCCCAGCCAATAGAAAGGCCGGATATAAAATCCTACCTCAATTACCTTTACTGAATCTTTAGAAGCTACGCCTAAATAAACTTCATCTCTGCTGTTTTTCTGACTTTTGACCTTTTACCCTGTCCACAAACAAAAAAACGCATTTTAGTTTTTTCGTATGACTCTCCCTTCAGTCGAGGGAGTTATCGGTAGAACACACTTTATGAGCTGATACAAGGTAGTGTAAACCCGTTTTTGGTTCGTTTTTGCTTGGAAAAATCGAAAAAGCTTCTTAAAGGCAGTAAACCATCCTTTCGCTCTTCCCGTTTCTCCATCTAAATCTGTCATTATCCTAAGGGATTTCTAGGAAAAACTAAAAGATTGTAAAAGTAGACGACTATCTCCTTTTTTCACCTTTTCATCAACATTTGAAAATGATTTTTGTAAGCCTTCTCTAAATTGACTTTGCTTCGCCACGTATATCCTCATCCTAGTGTCTATTCGTTCCCACTGAAATTATTAATACAAATTAATAGTGATTGATCATTGTAGAATTCTTTTTTTTTCGGATTACTTTGAAATGTAGTCGCGTTATCCAATGGTTTCGAAAGCCTTGGAGTAATCAGATATTTGGTCAATATGTTTGATTTTTGAAACGAGACAAACATTTGAAATCAATGTCGTGTATAACAGCATCTGACATGAGTCAAATTTTTGTGATCCGATCCGGGTTCGACTCTCGTATTGATCACTTTTCTCTTTCTTTTGTGTCAATAAAAACGTCTCGATGAAGTAGAAGAAAAAAATCGTGCAATACATAACTAGAACTTTTAAATGAAGAAAACATTCAAAATGCCTTTTGTGTTTGAAAAATATTCAGACTGTATATGCACCCTTGAAATTCAAAAAATTTTTTTTAGTAACTTGATGCGTGGCGAGTCGGACACTGATGTGTAGTAATTGCGATTAGATAGCGGTGGCGGTAGGAATTTTCGTCAGGGGGTTCAGCTTCTAAATTCTCAAAATGTCAAAAAAGTAGTTGATGTTTTTGACTTGTTGAGAATACTATGGTCAGAATGCAATTTATTAATAAAATTTTAATTAGTTTTTTTTTTCGTTGTTTATATGATGAATAATTTTTTGTTACAATTATATATGGTCGACATAATGCTTTTTTTTCTATCAAACTACACCTTTAGTTCAAAGTTTTCTTCCAGTTACGAAATTCTGAAGTGTTAAAAACATCATCGACATTTTACTTATCAGAAGAAAAATGATAACAATATCATGCGTCATTTTGTGAAGAATATTCCAATCATATTTAGGTATGCATCAAATTTTGCATATCTGCTACCAAGACTGTAGATTTTCGGTGGGAAAATTTGTCCAATCCAATCAAATTTTTATGTCGATGATAATCGATTTTATTCGCTCGGCTTGATAGTTACATCAGATTTCGTCAAACTTTAGAAAAGTTCTAAGATTTTGTAGGATTTGATGAAAGCTGTAATCTTTTCGTAGCTTTCACCAAACCTTTGAATTATTTTTAAAAATTTGACAAAATTTGATACCAATATAGAATAGAAAGAATAAAACGGGTTATGAACACAAATATTTGATTGAATTAGAGAGATTTTTATACTGAAAATCTACAATCGTTGTGTTAAATATCCAGGATTTGGTGTATCTCCAACCATATTCTGTCGTTATACCAGCTTAATTGCTATGAATATTTTAGGGTTATGTATGGGATAAATTATTAATTCTAGTTGATTAGGGCAATCATTACACATATACGTGTACAAATATTATTTGAAACAGATTTTGTTCTAAAACTTTCATTTAAGGTAATAGAGTCTGTGAGAGAAAGTGATAAAGTGTCAGAAACAAGATCATATGTAGCTTGATAACCAGATTACAAAGAAAGAGAAGGAAAGCTTTGAAATCCAGATAATGAAGATGAAATGATCACGTTCAATGCTATTTTTATTCATCATGACGTAGTTCGACAGCAAGAACAGAGTTTTTTTGACATGATTGCGGTGAACAAATATTACAAAAAAAATGTCACGAACATCTTTGCACTTTCAGAAAACAGTTTGTTGTAATGTCACCACGAAAGATTATCTATTCTCTGTAAAGCCTAAAAAAAATTCCGAAGGGTTCATCTCCCCCTTGACACCGCTACTACGATCAGATCTGTGTCTTATTGCAAGTTGATGATTGGCAAATGTAACTTATTATTCCAACTTTAGATAGAAATAAAAATTATTGAATTCTTATTGTTTTATGTTAATATTGAAAGCGAATAGAGAATGTCATATAAATAATAAAGATTAAATTCGAAATAAATTTTGTTAGAAATTATAATTAAATTATTGTCAATGATCGTATAATAATTTGTTTTTGTTCATCAAAAAATAATATTTTTTAATTGTTGAATAATATTAAAAAATTTTCGTTTAAGAATTTTTCGAAATGTTTTACTTGATATTATATTTATATAAAAATTTTTACAATAAATTACTAACCAAAACCATCGTGCAATATAATTAAATATTCTATAAATTAATAAATTTAATAATTGACTAGGTGATGAATTATAAATTCCATAAAGATAATAAGTAATATATGGTATATATAAAAGAATTGTTACACTAACTTGAAATAAAAGCATTCTTATTAAATGTTTATTACTTCGATATGAAAGTAAATTATTTGATAATTGTTGTGGATAAATTCGATAAGAAATAAATTTTACATTTCGAAATATTAATAAACCAAATATAATTAAAACAAAAGGTACAATAATACCATTAAAGATCGCATAGAAAAATCCATCAAGAAAAATAAAGATATCAACAAGATTTAATTGAACTGTACATCGTACTGAACTTGTTGGAGTAATTTGAATACGATTATATGATATTATAATATGTAAAGAAAATAAAAGCCAAAATAATAAAATAATTAAAGATAAAATACGACTAAATTTTAATTGATTAAATTTTTGTAATTTATTATTTGATGAACTTGCACAAAAACGATCAATTGATGCAAATGTTATATAGGTTGATGCAAGACAAGGAAGAAGAAAAAAGAAATAATTTGAAAGTTTACACCATAAATTAGTTTTTGTCATGACTATGAATATTGTTGGATTAAATAAACTAATTAATTGCATTAAAATAAATGTATTAATAAAAAAAAAATCAGTTATTGAAGTTGCAAGAAAATATGTTGAACATGATTTAAAACGAAATTGTTTTTGAAGAAAAATAAAAATATTCAGAACAGAACCAATAAAACCAGCGATATATAATAAAACCGTCATATATTTCTCCATAATTGGAAGAATAATTGATGCTTGAATTAAATCTAATAATATAGAACTTGATGAATCGATTGAAGTATTTGACATTTTTCTTGTTGGAAAATGATTAAAATGAAATTGTGATTCTTTTTCTCGTTATCTTTTTTATTTAAGAAATAAGATATTCAACTTAATCATAAAATCACCTACATTTTAATTATGAATAGATGCGCTAATGTAATAAATGCATACATAATTTTAATTTTTAATCAAAATTCTATGCTTACTTTTTCAATAAGAATATGATTAAGATCAGAAAAGATAATTAGAGATGTATACTATATCAACAATATGAACGATTTTGAAATACAGATGTTTGCAGAAAAAAAACTTGAAAAAGATTACTTTTTTTGCTATTGGAAGCAATTACAAAACTAAGATTTCTAGAGATGAATCATCTGGAATTATACCACATACTTATCATACAGAAGTGTGATTTCATTTCTATTAGATACATATATATCAAATCATTATATCTCAATTTTGTATTTTTGGAATAAAGATATATGATCTACCAGCGTTATTCATCATGAAACAAATACCCCATTGGGTACTATCCATCAGTGTAACTAAGGAGAGGACAAATGGACAATTACTCATTTCATTTGAAGATTTACCCATTGTAATTTTTTAGTAAGTTTTAGCCCCATTGAAATTTTATTCTTTCAGAATTGTTTATTTATTTTTCAATTAGATAGTAACTGTATTTTTTTTCTTCCGTCTGAACCACACATGCACTCTTTGCTTGTTCTTTCTATGAAGAAAAAAAAGAAAAGAATCGCTTCTTGTATTTTAACTGTAAGTTTGGCCGAACGTGAGTTTGGTTTTATTGGAAAAGTACTAACCACGTAAAGGATGTAATGACTTGCTTAAAATAGATGATGAATAGAGAAAAAAAGTGGTTAAATGAACTAATTACAAAGACAGACAATGTATTATATCCAAATATTCGTTATTTGTTAATTTTCTTGACAACATTGCCTGTATCAACAGCTTCTGCTGCAAGAAGTTTCAGTCATTTATCGAGAATTAAAAGTTATTGCCGGTCTACGATGAAACAAAATAGGTTAAACACACTTGATACTGCATATATTCATAAAGATCTCGATATAAATCCAAATGAAATATTGAAAGTATATACACAAATGCATCATTGTCGTTTCCCTAGTCGAGACTACCTAGAAGAATCTCTGTCGTGAGTCCCTGGAAGAGTTAAGAGAGGATTCAGGGACTTCGCAGGGAATTGATGAGTATTTTCAGAGTCTCTCTAGGAGTCACTATCGGAATTCTCTGAAAAATTCAAATTTATGAAAACTTTAGAGGGACTCCCCGAGGATTTCGTTGGGAAGAGTCGACTAGGGCTTGATTTTAGTGTTTGAATTTGACATATAAATGTTATAAACAGACATTAAAAATAGACTAAAACACATCTGACTCAGGCTTAAGATCTGAGTTTGATGCATATTTGATTAAAAGAAACTCATTTCATTTTTTTGTATTTTGTTTTACGTTATCAGTACTGTGTTGGGCCAAAAAGTTTTTGGTCTATCAATAAAAACCTAGCCCATTTTGCTCATCGTTTTTTTCCGATACAAGAGAAGTTTGCCCATTGGTCTAAAAATTCTGGTTATGCCGCTTGTACTATCTATTACAATATCGACAAATTAAAACGATCAAATTCACTTAATGGAAATGGTCGACCACGTGTACTGAGTGGAAAAGAGAAAAAACCTATTGACCAATTTATTCGGCAAAATAATGAAATAAAGAAAAAGTTGTCTACAATACATCGTAAATTAGTCTCTACATCAACAATCAGTCATCATTTTCATGAATATGATTATAAGAATGTTTTACCAAAAGGTACTCATATGTTGAAGTCCAGTGAAAAAAAAACGACGTATACAATGTACCAAACAACATAAAAATGATGATTTACACGTACAATTTTTACAGATGAATCTCCGTAATACTATGCGTCGTTGACCAAAGCGTCAAAATAATGAATTAAAATGTGCACCCAAAAATCGTCAAAAAGTTCATATCTGGAGTACTGTAAGTGTTAAAGGTGTTTTGATTTGTCACACATTCAAATGTATTCTCGATGGTGTCTATTATGCTCGTATACTTGAAAATTACTTTCTACCTACTGCTAGACGTAAGTAATAAACGGAAACAATGTAAATTGGTGTTTATTTTTTCACTTTAGGATGATTTCGTCGAAATTGGCGTCCACAGCAGAACGACAGTCCAAAACATCAGAGTAATATTTGTAAACAATTTATCAGCGATAATGTACCGAAATTGTTAAAAAACCGAAAACTATTGATGAACTTGAATATTTCTTAGCTGAAGAATTCAAAAATGTTGAAATTAATATTATAAAAAATTTCGTGATGTTCATGAAAGAAAGATGTTTGTCATTTATTTCTTCTAAAGGTGAACGAATAAAATATTGAAATATGATGTTCGATAGTACCCGTCATAGGCTATCAAGCAATATATGAAACAATTTGAGGGTGGCATATATATCTATATATATATAGGGAAATACTGGCACGACAAGATTTCCAAGTTTTTTTGCAAACACCTGTAGCAAATAACCTAGTATATGAATAACATAAATACAGTTTCGTTAGTTATGGAGTTGTTACTTAATCTATTTATACTATTCCGCTTGATTGATAGATTTTGCTACTTTTTCATGGGCGTAACTCTTTCTTCAAAATTCTACTATTTATTCAAAGATTTCGTTTCAAAATCATGTGCTCATTGAATGATATTCTGTTTCAATTTGATGATCGAAATATCCGGTGGTGAGTTAAGGAAGAAAATGTCATTTTGAATCAGGAAAAATGTATGTTGAGAGTAAGCTAAACTATTTTCTTCGTTGCTCAATCTATCTGCTCATAGCTTAAAGCTGTATCAATTATATTATGTGCAATGTAGCCAAACCAAACACTGGTGTGAATATAGTCAATATTGATTGAGTGTGCATCTGCTAAGTTTGTATAAATTTTTCCCATGTACAGCAAATATTACAGAAATACGTCGTTTCATACACGTTGTCATAATACTCGACACAAATACTTGTGAAAATTATCTCGACGAAATACCATTTACATAAATTGTAATGTGAGTTGAATATCATCTATTGTTATAGTTTCTTGAAAGTCATAATTACATCTAAGAGAGTAATGTCAATGCTAAGTCGATTTTGATACATAGTGCCAACCACCAATGAAACGATTGAATGAATAATTTTAGCATGACTATAAAGTTTAGGAATGTTGTCCATAGTAAAATTATGATGAATGAGAATAGAAAATAATTCTTTCTTTAATTATCGACATGTATGTACTGCAGAGATGAAAGAAGGAAAAAGAAAGAATATTCTTATTGTTTGATTAGCTTGCAGTATGAGATGTTGATTAGATACAATTTTGTAAACTCAATATCTTCTTTACATTTACTACTAGTTGTAGCTCTGGACAGAAGGTTGGCCATGCTTCGAATTCTTGTACTCAATCGTTAAAGTTTTGCATGCACGGTGACTAACCACATATTAGTCATTAAGGTCTGTGTATGTCATAACATAGTCAGCATGTTGTTAGGTGAATAATTTGAGATAAACAGTCGGCAACAGCTTGCCCATGTCCATTCTATGGTTGATGGCATTGAGATTCGAACATAGTACCTTGTGAGCATCTGTTGAATAACAGAACCACTGAAATATAAAGGATCCACTAGAGATATACCAATGCATCGTTTATTTTTCAAGTTTAACGTCAATATATCGAGTAAACACAGGTTTTCTGTCTTCACTCTTCCATATATAAATCACACTAAGTTTCATAGAAGATAAAATAGAAACTTTTGAAGCAGAATTTCTGGTAGTTGAATTACGAAAGAATATGATGATCACGGTGCTTTCTTTGTTTCTCTAATATATCCATCAACATCCTCGCACATAGACATTAATCCTAGTAAATCTCTCAGCTAATAAAATATGAATAGAATGAGTACGTGATATGTCTGGTGTATTTTAACTAATAACTTGATCATCAATACTCTCTATGTTGAGATGATTAATTACTTGATAAGTGACGATAGATTCATTTTTGTAGATATTCTGCATTTTTTGTCGAGCATTTCACAAATTATAGGCTTTTGTGAAACACGATCTAAAAGGACTGTTGAGGTATATTGGATAGAAATTTGGGACCATTTCCTTTCCCCACAGACCGTGACAGATCTTTTGATACACGATTTACGATTATATATTGCTAGACTCTCATAAGAATATGTCAACTGCTTCCTTATTGCAGTTCTAGAGAATTAAGTAAAAACAATGACGAATAAATAGGTTTCAAGGTATATCGAAGAAAATCATATTCGTGTAACTGGTAACAACAGCTATGTTGTGTTTCATATTTTAATCTCGCAGGGATTGTGCTAACAGCCTTTCATAAAAGTATTGATTGCTTCAATTCATGAGCTTGAGTCATCGCAGTGTTGTATCAGTTACATTGATGTTCTTTAACCATTAAACAATGGCATTCTGCACATCTCTACTATCAAAGCATGACGAACACATTATTCCTTTTCTGAATAATATTTAATCTTCGAAGATTTTTTCACATCAACACCAAGTGTGCGACACGCTTAGATAAAGCAAGCACTATTTGTGAACCAAATGTAGAGATGGTGGTGATTTTTCTCCTCTTTTGCCGGTGAATATAACTGATTTAAAGAATTGAAAGGAGTATACAGAAAGTTTATACAATAATGTTATAAGTTCCATTCTCGACGGAATCTATATTCTTTCTTTTGTGTTTGTTCATCGAAAGTCAAACGAAATAAACAATAGTATTATATAAAAGTACTTTTTATCTTTCATTCTTTTCGTATTGATTTCATAGATACACTTGGATCGTCGTCTGCTATGCTTCAATATTATCGTCGTTCTCTCTCTGCCAATAAGAATAATGATAGAGTAAAACGAACTAAACTTGAGAACATCAAAGTTCTGGTATCCTTGATTTTACCAATTAATATAGGAATCTTTACTCTAGTAACAACACTTCAAAATCGTCACATTGCTAGTGAAGAACGTGAGCAAGATCAAAATCAAGCACAAGATCAACAACGAGAAACAGTTTTTGTCAATTATATTAATGATATAGCTCGTTATCGTGATAAAAATAGTGGTTTTCTCAAAGAAAGTTCACTTCTATCGAATGATACACAAAGTCTTTGGTTCGGTGCTGATTTCAATCGAATCAAAATCGATGGCAATGATTGTCGTTTTTCGAATGCTACTTTTTGGGGTGTTCAATTTCAGTATGCATCATTAACGAATTGTCAATTTGAAAATGTAATTTTTCGTCATACAAATTTTAATCATGCTACTCTCACACAATCAAGCTTTTATAATACACATTTTATTTCATGTCATATGGAACAAATCAATTTTCAAGATGCAATCATATTCCTTTCATATTTCAATAGTTCAATGTTAAGTTTTGCAAATTTTCTACATACAACATTAAGTACTGTTTATTTTTTGAATATCAATTTGACGGGAGCAATATTCACTACAAAACTATCGAACTTCTTTGTTATTCGAAATTCATTTCTTCCTAATGGAACATTTTCACCTGTTGATGGTATTGATATCAAGATGAATGAATGTGCACTATTAGACGGATGGCAGGTAATACCTGATAGAAGTATTCAAATAAAAAATTGTACATTGGTAACTACTAATAATAATGCCAGTATAAGTCGAATAATTCCAATGTCTTTGGCCGATCATTCAATGCTTATCAATACTAATCAAGCAGAATTTCAATTTAAAATACATGAAAATGGTCTACCGACAAGAATTTTAATCAATATTGTTTTTGATAATGCGGAAAATCTTATTTTCGATATACATGATACTGGTATGATATCATTTCGATTATTGAAATAATCTCTAATATGCTGAGAAGAATTTCGAGTTATCTCGATAATTCAAGAATAATTATTTTCCTTTTTTATTTCTATTTTCTTAGTTTGCCCTGTCAATATAGATCGTGTTTGTAAACATCGCCTTCGTATTCCGGCATATGCTACAAAATTTTGGATACAATTTATATTAGAAACTATTGATGCTTCGATCAATCAGATTTCTTTCACGTTACGACCCAGAAGAACAAATACTGCTTAGCAAAACTATGCGACTATGAAAAAATATATTTACATTATTTTGACGAAGTTTTCTTACCTAATTGCTCGAGAATATACTGAAAAGCTTATATAGTTCTGGACAAAAGTAGCTCATTCCCCTATGAAGTGCTACTACTCTTTATGACATTGAGCTGATATTTTGGATACATGCGTACGACAATAAACTCTGATGCAAATGTCAAGGTGCTCTCCATTGGTTCATATCTACTGAAGATATGATTGGCGCATCTTCTACCCCTTGTGAGAAACATATTCATAGAAAAAGTTTGTCATTTTGTTGTTCTGTAAGCTACTACTGTTTTTTTTTCTAGCAATCAAGACAGTCCCATATGTCTACCTTAGTATTGCCAAAGTTCATGATACATAGACAAGATCTTAGTAATTAGCACGGCCTGAAATAGTGAACTCATGTCGAAGTATTATAACTCGACTTCATTCAATGTTATGCCTATAAAACTTTTAGAACAGATTTTCTAATAAAATTTTCAAATGAATTGATTAAAGCCATTATGGAAAAGATCTATTTTATTAAAAACCAATATTTGCTGTTCAATAGACATTCTTAACGAAAAGATAATATCTTACTTATTTTAAAGTGGTTTCTAACGAAATCTGGACTAGAGATAACTAAGACATTGACCTTTTGAATGAGAGATTCGCCGAAAAAATTTGTGGTAACATAGTTGAGATAAGATGAACCTAAGAAGAAAATGATGTCTGAATCAAAGCTTCAATACATGTGAACCGATAGAGAGCGAGTTGGTGCTTGCGATTACGGTTTATTATCATACGCATGCATCAAAAATATCAGCTCAATATCATAATGAATAGTAGAACTTTCTGAAGATAACTATTTTTGTCCAGGATTGTATATGTTAGGAAGGTTGTGTGTAGATGCGACTCAATGCTTGGGAGACTGGCATGATAGTGGGTCTTTAGAACCAGATTTACACCTACTGTCATCCTTGACAAAAAAAAGATGGCTTTTATTTCTTCATTATTTTAATAAAAAATATTTACCATTATTTTATTGTCTTGAGAATGTGTAAGGTTGGAATTGAGAGAAGACTCACGCATGCAGACCTTTCCGAAGTGCCAGGTCGGTTTTATTGCCAACGTTAATGTTTCACTAAGTTGTACATTGAGTTTTCGTTGACAATGTATGAAAATCATAAATTCTCTTGGACAAATATCATTACTCTGACCTATCAGATCATGAATAACTTAAGTCATTAAACACTTCAATTTTTAAAAATAAAGAAAATATCATTGGTGACTCGTATAAGCAATACAAAAAAAGATTAGCCTATTCAATATTGTAAACACAATTTTATCAAAGAATAAATATTACATTCTACCATTTCTGAAATCATGTTTGTTCAGGTTGACTTTCTGATTATTTATCAAAGTGATTGCATTCGCTATCGACGAACTGATATATCTCAAGAGAAGCGAAGGCACTTTTACTGCCTTCGTATCTTAATAGTATAAGCCAACAATAGACATGTGCGAAACTAGAACGACTTTTCAAATGAAATTTTTCGTATGTCATAAATCAATTTATTATTTTCATGCTAATATCTTGTCAAACGGAAAAAAACACATTATGATACATAAGACGATATGAATACAAATAAAATCTGTAAATATTAAATCTTAATGAAAAAATAAATCACAATTATATACATGTTTATTTTAAAAAAAAAATAGTTTCATCATTATAAACACTAAAATGTCTTCATCATATTTAGACAATCATCCTGTTTTCATTTGTGAATATTGACTGTGATAAATTGACTTTTCTTCTGTAGAAATATTAGCTTCTTACACTCAAAAATAAGACTAATGACTAGAAAAGACCATTTGCGATGGGAAACTCTTATCCTAAACACCTGTGAAAGACATTTTTCATTTTAAAAATTAAGATATGATTCATTATTTAATGAAATTTTTCTGATATATCTCAGTCGTGAAGCATTTGTATATCTTTTTACTAATTAAATTTATATTCTAGATATAGACGAACATTCTCGGAAAGTTTCATCGATATCGAATTAGTGGAAAAAATAGCGGCCAACTTTACTGAAGATGTCTTTTTGAAAAAACGCTTAGCATAAAAAGAATAATTATTTTTTCAGAAGATTTTTCTTATAAATCAATAGAGTAAAAGTCCTAGTTTCAGATAATATATGATATATTGTTCAACTCTTTTTATTTTTCAAAAACAAAAATGATGTTTTTCTTTAAAAATGCTGAAATTTGACTTTTTTTTACGGCTAAGTTTTTTTTCAATGAATTTAGCAATTAGGATATACTTTCATTGTACATGTCTAGTCAATAATTTTTCTCTAATTCCATTGATGACTCATATAAATAAGAAAATAATTCAAGAACTATGATACACATTGGCTTTTATTTGTCATTTCAAAAAAAAAGATTTTTTTTTAAACTAAATTTTATTTGAACAATAAAAGAAAACGGTTATTATTATTACATAAAAGTCCTTCTTTTTAATGGTTTTTGTTTACTATCATATTGATCTTTTTTTTCAACGACTGTTTGCCAAATATCAGTTTCTTCTTGTATTGGATTTTTCTTCTCATTATTTATTGTTTCATCATTTTTAATATCATTCATTTTAATTCTTTGAATATCACGTTTTGAACGAAATAATGATTCAACTAAATAAAAACTCTTTTTTGTTTTAAATAAACCTTCACCAAATTCTAGACGAATTTTAATAGATCGTTGTGGTAATTCAACACTATCTAATTTTTGTGGTATTATTTTATATTGATTATCACGAAATAAAATTTTCTTTTTAGGTAATACACCTATAACTGGATGATAAAATAATGCATATGAATGACGAACAGGTGAATAATATAATCGAAATGGCATTCGAGAAAGAACAATTAATACTAAAGAAAAAACAAAAATATTCAAAAAAAGAAAACTTTTATTCATACATATTCCAAATGTTGAACCAATCATTGTTGCAATTGAATAAAGAATCCATGGTGGTATATATCTATTAATATCATCAACTAATGGTTCCATATCAAGCATTTCACGATGAAAATGAATTATAATAAATGTTAACATTCCTATACTACCACATGTACATATTAAATGCATTAAACTATACAATCGTTGTCTAGGCATAGCATATATGAATTCATAATCTTGTTCTAATTGAAATTTTTCTCGAAAACGAATATGTTCTTGTAATTTAAGACGACGAGATTTTTCATCAGTTGGTTCTTGAAATGGATTTTCAATTGGTGATGATGAAGGTTTTAATGAACCATATTTTGATTTTAATGTTGATGATTCAGCAAGAAATATTGTTTGAGAAAAATGAATTGGACGTAACTAAATAAAATTTAAAAAATCTTTAAAGTCAATTCAATAGCTTTTTTTTTCGTTTCATTCTTTATGTTTAAAGTTAAAATAATTATTAATAAAGTCTATGGGAAAATTATAAGACAGTATTCTGTCATATAGGATTAACATTTACAATGGAAATCCTCCAACTGATTAATTGCTTATTACTGTTGAGAAAATGTATTTTTACTATATTTTTCAAGTTAATGCCGTAGTGTCCTCCCCTTAAGAATGCCAGGGAAACCGGTTTTTGAATATCGATTTGAAACTTTGTATATAGACAGATCTTAATAAGAATAGTCTATTGTAAAAGTTTCAAATCTTTTCATTGTTTCTATTCTAAGAGACGACTAAGGTAAAAGTATTTCTTAATATATACAGGTAGATTTGATGTTCTTATTTCAGAATAGAAGAAAACCAAAAGATCTGATACTTTCACAATAAACTGTTCTTGTCGTGGTTTGTCTATATGAAAATCAGCCTTCTTGAGGGAACTAAAATATCTTCACAACGATAGACTAAGAGTCCGAACTATTCTCAGGATATTCATAGCTCATTAGGGCCTACATGATGCATAAAGCAATTAATCAGCTGGAAGACTTCCTTTATTAGTACATTATTTTATCTACGGAATGATGTGTAAATTAGGCATGCTCGAATATTGTTTTGCTAGCTTGCGTCATCTCATTTAATTACCCGTGGCGCGTACATTTATTCGCACCACTGCCGATATACCGCGATAGAGAAAAATGTAACCAACACTCTGCTCTATATTTCAATCAAGTTAATTCCATTTATGTGATTGTTTATGACATCTAGTCAAAGGAAGGAAACACCGTACTTTCGTAATCTCTAGAGTAGAGAGAATACAACTAGAGCTCATCGGGTCCCACCCGGACTCAATGGGCTCTAAATGCAAGAATATTGTGAGAGTACGTCGCTATCTTATTGGATCTAGGGTCTGGATTTTTCTTAGTTATAAAACTGTACTTCCAGAGTCTAGAGAGTACGTAATTTCCTTCCTTGCAGCATCTAGCAGAATGATATGAATGTATTCCTAAATAATCTATAACGGCTATTTGTCTTTCCTAAGGAAAAAAAAACTATCAATTTTTTAATATATTTACTTCTCTACATTGTTGTATTATGAAAGGATTAGTATTAATTCTATTGATATGTTTCCATTTCTTATCGAATTAGATTTCTTTTAAATAACAACTTACAAGTGATGGTCTTATTGATAAAAAATTTGCTAAACTTATTGATCGACGGCATATAAATAATAGTGTTAAAGACATCTAAAATTTAAAAATTTATTATCTTAATGTAATGCGAAAAATATTAAAAAAAAAACAATTTTTTTTATTAAATAGATGAATAAGCACGATAAGCTAAAAGATCATTATTGCATTGAAAATCAATAGATGTTTGTTTATCAATAAGAAAAACATCAGCTTCATTAAATAAAACTGTTTCTTTATTCATTGTTCCTTGTCCTTGAATAATAATCATTAAACTTGGTTTATCAATTGCATCAATAAATCCATTATTTCCTTTAATTTCTTCTACAATAAAATCATCAATATTTGATACATGTCTTGGATCAAATTGAATTATATTTTCTGATATTTTCTTTCCAGAAAATTTTGTTTGTTCAATTGTTAATGGTTGATAATCAAGCATATTAATTAATGTTGAAATATCTTTAAATTTTGGTGTTAAACCAGCACGTACAACATTATCCGAACATGCCATACATTCAATACATTGTCCATGTAAATAAGCATGTGGAATATTTGCTTTAAGAAGAATAGCTTCACCAGGATTTAAAATAATATAATTAAAAAAATATATTGAAAATAAACCAACATCACCATTAGGATATTGTTTATTGAGATTTTTAAATAGATGTGATAATTCAATATTTGAATCTGTTGTTGATGATGAAATAACTTCTAAATGAGCATTAATACATTGTGATATAATTGTTGATGATGATTGCATTAAATTTGAATAAATTTGTTTAAGTAATGATTGTTGAATTGATAATTTCATATTAGATGAAATAGAATTTGAAAATTGTTCACAAAGATTTTTATCACATAATATTTGTAATTGTTCATATTTTTTTATAAATTCATTTATTTCATTATAAGGACGAAATGCACATAAACATTCAAATTTTGTTAATGCAATAGCCATTTCAGGTTTATGATTATCATCTGGATATTCTTTTGGATTTAATTTATGTAAAATTTTTGCATGTTCTTTATTTGGATGTGCTTGAATACTTAATGCTTTTTCAACACTTAAAATTTTAAATAAAAATGGTAAATCAATATTTAAATATGATTTTAAACTTGTTTGATTATTATCAAGTAAATATGATTCACCTTTTGAATGTGTACCCATCCAATATTCAGCATAAGGTTGTGTTGATATAATTGAAGAAAATTTTGATGCAAATTGAGCAACAAGTGATGAAGAACCAATTATACCCCATGCATATGGTTGAACTGTACCACGTATTGGATGCATCTAGAAAAAAAAATTTTTTTTCTTTATTTCAGAATTAATTTTACATAGATGAAATTAATAATTAGAAAGTACAGAATAGGGTCTTGATTGAAGATGTGAAAGTAGTATTTTTCATGGCAACTTGGATCATTTTGTATTCTCCACAGTACAACGACTTCACCCGAATTTAACTATACCAGTGTCATAATTAGTACCTGTTGAAGCTATTCTCGTGTTTGAACGCAACACTAATTCTATTGGATAAGGAACAGGAGTAACTCAGGTAGTTTAAGAAATGACATGTTGCCATTTAAACTAGTATGCACTGTCAAAAATTACCTTTTATTATATCTAAACGCTGCTTTGAAGTAATAAAAGCAAGAAATTGACCCTTCATAAATGACCTCGAAGTGTGATTATATGTATCTAATCATCACATACATACAATAACGTTTCAATCCCATTTAATAAGAAACAATTTCTTGCTATTTTCTACTTCGAAACGACGTTTAGGTGAGATAAACGGTAATTTTAGACAATACATACTGATTTAAATGGCAAAATACCATTTCCTGAACTATCTGAGAAATGATTAATCTAGTTTATAGAAGCTACTTATTGTATAGCGATTGTTAATAACCATGACGATATTTAAGGATGTTCGTCGTGCAGTATTTTTCTTTTTTACGGAGAAACAGTTTGAAACTTTAAATAATCAAATCCTATTCGCAAGATACTATCGCCATTGCGGTAGTAGAATAAAACAGTATACTGATTGAATATATAAATATAGAATTTTTTTTCATACAGCTCATTCGGTATTCAATAACTTGTAACATCAAAACCTATTCATTACTCTAAGAAAAATCCTAAGAAGATTCAAACTAGTGAGACTTCTTTCAAAGATTTTGATCATTTTACTGAATTTTTCTACTAAGCACAAGGTATACACAAACGAAAATCTCTTTCGCTCATATGTAGCTATCGCAGTCGTTGGAATACTCTAAATTTTATAGTGAAAAAAAAACAATGTTTTCTGGACTTTACAGATTATGAAATACATTTTTTAAGACTGATATCTCCAAAATAAAACTTTTTATTTTCATTGAAACATTTGGAGTGCTTCAATGACCATGTGAACGAAATTTCACATTGAAATTTTGTTGTCTGTATGTACCTTGTACTAGGTGGAAAAACCAATAGAATGGTTATATATATTATCATGAATCAATTGAAGATCTTCCCTCGTAAAAAACATCCTCTATTCCAATGCTCAAATACTTCTGACATATTATGAGCAAAGTATCCTACTCCAACCTCTATATCTTTTCTTTGTCAGATTATTTTTCAAGATAAATTATCGATCAATCAATTCACTTAACAGTGTGATTTAACTGAATTGATAATTCTTGAAATAAATTTCAGGATATCAAATTAAATATAATGTAACCTTGTATCTATTTCTATTTTTGTATTTGCACAAAACAAGATTAACAATACTATGAAATATTACAATCAATATGCCTTACTTAAAAAAAAAAATAAATTTTTCTATTTATTTTTTGAAAAATCTGAAAAACAAAAAACAAGTAATTCAGTTTATATTGTTTCATTTATTTTAAATTCAATCAAAAAACAATAAAGTGTTAAAATGATTAATATATTCGCTAGAACACTGCTGGTTGTGACAAACAAAATCCTATTGTCTTCGCACATTCAATTAAAAGAATTTAAATTTTTAAAAAAATGACCATTATATAACAATTGATATTGATATTATAAAAAATGTGCTTTACTAGTTGTTATGCCAAAACATTGACGACATTGAATATCGGATATATATTTACATAATAGTAACTGGATGAATTAAATAACAATAAGATATTTTCATGGATGTCCCAATCATTTCCATTGAGATGCTGATCTAAGAATAAACAACAAACAAAGAAAGTAATCAGAATTAGAAAGTTTTGTTTAATAGTCATATCACTAAAAAATTACAGATTCACATTTCGAATTTATTAATTTTTATCAACAATACTTAAATATTTTTTTTAAAATAAAACTATTACGTATAAATTATAAAAATGTAGATCATTTTTTAATTATAATATAAAATTATTAAGACATTGTAATATTCAAAAAACAAAAAAAGTAATAAATTTTTCGCTTTAAGATTTCATTTAATCATTTATCTGGAAAATATTTGCTAAGAATTTCTACTCTTATTCAATATGAATAAATATTGATTTCTTTTTATTGAATAATAACAAAGGAAAAACTGAATTCATTTGATAAAATGAAAATTAGTCTTTAGTAGAATCTATACATTTTATAAAAAGAAATTCAACGTCATCTTTATAATTATTCTATTCTGATTACTGATTATTTGTTTTTATCGGATTGGTTAAATCTATGAGCTACTGACATCTTGAACTTTGCCTTCATGTAAGATATTAATGCATTTATATTAAACTAATAAAAATTCGAAATAGAAAATTTAAAAAAAAAATATCATTATTTAATTGAAATTCTTTTAAAAGAATTCATATTAAATATCTTAATCCAATGTTTATTCATAAAAATCCATATTTTTTTGCAGTGAGGGTCAATAGTAATCATCAATATCCACTTGCTTTTGAATTTAAGTTAAAATCAACTAAGACTTGCCAAAAATGGTTTGTATAGTTTTGTCTTTTTTTGCTTTTTAATCTATTCATTTAATTTTTCTAGGCCGCTTCGCGACCTCTTGTGAGTGTGTACAATGAAAAAGGACAATCAACAGGAAATTCAGTCGTTTTACCAGCTGTTTTTCGTGCTCCAATTCGTACAGATATTGTTAATTTTGTTCATGATCAAATGAGACGTAATAAACGACAAGCTCGTGCTGTCAGTGATAAAGCTGGTACTGAAAATTTGTGCTTTTTGTTTTTTGTTTTTCTATTCAAATTTTGTTCATTAGGTGAACAAACATCTGCTGAATCATGGGGTACAGGCCGTGCTGTAGCTCGTATACCACGTGTACGTGGTGGTGGTACACATAGATCAGGTCAAGGTGCATTTGGTAATATGTGTCGTGGTGGTCGAATGTATGCACCATTAAAAGTCTGGCGTAAATGGCATAGAAAAATTAATTTAAAACAACGACGTTATGCACTTGTTAGTGCTATAGCTGCATCTGGTGTTCCATCACTTGTTTTAGCTAAAGGTATGTTTCAACAAAAAAAAAAAAAAAAAAAACTTGTTGTTCTATTTCTTAATTTAGGTCATAGTATTGAAACTGTACCAGAAATTCCATTAGTTTTATCGGATAAAATTCAAGATTTAAAAAAAACAAAAGAAGCTGTCGGTGTTTTACGTAAAATTGGTGCATGGTCCGATATTCTTAAAGTTTATGCATCAAAACATACACGTGCTGGTAAAGGAAAAATGCGTAATCGACGAACAGTTATGAAACGTGGTCCAGTTATTATTTATGATAAAGATAATGGTGTTAAAAAAGCTTTTCGTAATATACCAGGTTAGAAATAAATTTTAAGTTTCTATTTTTTTTAAATATTAATAAAGTTTAAGTGTGGTAGTGGACAAAGATCTTCTGTATGTCAGCTATTATACATGCTCGAGATCTGAAATACTGTACTAAGAATTTAATTTAGAAGCATGAGATTGTTCCGTTCGCCTAAATACAATGAGAATTATGATGAGAAGCGTCTATGTTTGATTCAAGATTGTCTATTTAATTTTTCATTATCTTTTATCAAGTATATGACTCACTCTTGATATTTTAGTATGCTTTTGAATACTCTGTATTCGGATAACATTTTCATTTAGCGAAAGGTTCTTTCATCAAACTTTAACTATATACAAATTTCAGCTCGATTTACTAAACTATTACTCAGTTATGATCTTCAAAAGCTAGCAGAGAGTTTTTTTTCTCATCCGAATGTTCATAAAAAAATGGGTGGGAAGAGGATTGATGAACTTCAATGAAATTAATACGATAGATAATCGGAAGCAGATTTTGTCTGTTATTGTAACTAAGCGATCAAGATTATATTGTCGACAATAAATGTCTAATAAAGACAAGTTTTTCAATTGATCAATGATTTTCTCATCGGATGTTAATGAATTGTAGACTATCGACCATTAGAACCCATAGAATCCTACCCAGACTCGATAACCTCTACCCACAAAAGATCAATCAATCATGTCCGAATCCAAAAATTTGGATCGATCTGACCCAGGTCCAAATTTTCTTGAATCCAATGAGCTCTATAGATTTCTACATTGATTTGTACTTCGTAAATACGAATTGAAATTTACCTAATATGTTATTATTTTATGCAAAAATAAACTTAAATAATAAGTTCAAATTCTTTCTACTTGTAGCGTAGTTAAGTGTTATAGAGTTCATTTTAACATCTATTTCTCGTCGTTAATTTTTTTTAGGTGTATCTTTATTAAGTGTTGAACGATTAAATTTACTTCGTTTGGCACCAGGTGGTCATGTTGGTCGATTTGTTATTTGGACAGAATCAGCTTTTAAAAAACTTGATGCACTTTATGGTACATGGAGTAAAAAATCTCAACTTAAAGTTGATTTCAAGTAAGATATTTTTGACTTTGTCAAATAAGATTATTATGAAAACGAGATTCTACATTTCCGGGAGATATCACATTAAAATGTTTGTTTATTTTAGTCTTCCACAACCAATAATGACAAATAGTGATTTAGGACGTTTACTTAAAGCATTTGAAATTCAAAGTGTACTTCGTGCACCAATGTATGTAGAAATTTATTTACTTTTTTATATTTTGAAAATATAAAATAATATAGAAAACGTCAAGCACGTCGTAAAGTGAAGAAAAATCCATTGAAAAATATTAGTTTAATGTCAAGACTTAATCCATATGCAGCTGTACAAAAACGTCGAACACTTTTACAACAACTTAAAGGACGACGTACAGGCACAACAGCTGAATCAAAAGTACAAAATATTTTCTATTGATTTCAATTATTTTTAATAATCTTCTATCTATAGATTGCAGCTCGTAAAGAACGTACTCATGCATCATTAAAAACTAAACGATTATCAGGTGTTAATTTAGTTAAAAAAACTAAAAAACAACAAATTGGAGCTACAACAACGACAACAACAACAGCAACAAAAACAACAGTATCAACAAAATCTTCATAGAAGAATCGAAAATAAATTTATCATCTTTATTCTACATTTTGTTTTATATAACATCATACACACTCGACATATATATTTGTTGTTATTAATTCTTGAGAAAAAGAAACACAAACCGAACAAGAATAAATTAAATAAATAAAAAGAAATAAACGAATGAAATATTCGAGACTATTGAAATACATACTACAATTGTATTTATTCGATAGGAAAAACTTAACGTCTATGACCAGTGTTTTATCCAGAATGGAGGTCGAAGGGGATTGGCGTCCCTCCGAAGATCTTCCCGATATATTATGTTTATGTGCTCGTATCATTGAAAGAAATGTGAGCATTATAGTTGGTCAAATGACTTCATGATAATCATTTGTTTGCACTTCAGCATTAGGCTTAGATCAATAATTTAAAATTTTATATGTCATTCACCTGGCATTGATCAATCACCATTGTGACGACTAATGTCACAGGTCGACGATTAGATATGAGCTTTTATGATTTCAAAAAAATTTGGTTCCGGTATCAATTCCAACGAGATTGGGACCATCTTGTCCATATCTATCTATTACAATTTTTATTTACCTTAAAGAGTTTCACTGAATACACACACATTTTGTAACTAAAAATTATTTCATATTGATTCCTTAGGGAAAATTTTCTTTAATAATCAAACATTCGTTAACTAAGACATCGAATAAGTTCTATTATTCTTTGAAATTTCAAAGCTAGTTTATTAATATAAAATAAAGCATGTTTATATAACTTAAGAAGCAATAACTACATAAAAAAAAAACAAAAGATTTTTGTTTTTTAGCTTTGATTGAGATCATATGGCTCATAACAATTAGTACGATCAACAGTATGTTTATCTTGAAGTTTTCTAGCAGCTTGTTCGACTTGATCAAATGTTATTTCATCATATAATTTTAAAATACCACGAGCATATTCAGGATGAACTTTATAACATGCAACAAGAAAACGAAGTTTTATATCTAATCTTGTTACAGATCGAAATGCTTTAGCTATATTATAATGAAGATGAGCACGTTCATCACTATTTAAACCATTTAAATAAAATTGACGTGCTTGTGCATATTCTGTATCAATTGGAAGTTCATTTTCATGACGTGAATGAGATTTTCGAGCTAAATATCCTTGTAATGGTTGAGGTATTTCATTACATGTTAAATCAGGTCGAGCACGTGGTGGTTGAGTAAATGAATTAGGATAAATATTTGATTCAACACCACCATTTGCATCACATCTTATTCGTCCATCTCGAACTAATGGATGATATTGACGAGTCATAAAAGGACAATTAACTGGAATTTGATGAAAATTAACACCTAAACGATATAATTGTGCATCTCGATAAAGAAAACAACGAAATAATAGTAGAGCATCAGGTCCTGGTTCAATACCGGGTACTAAACTACCTACAAAAAAGAGCCATATTTTATTATAGACATACACGAAAAAGAAAATCTATAAATTTACCAGGTGAAAAAGCAACTTGTTCAACATCTCGATGATAATTTTCTGGATTTCGATCTAAAACTAAACGTCCAAATTCCATAAATGGATATCGATCTTCTGGCCAAATTTTTGTTGCATCAAAAGGATCAAAATCAGGTACTTTTTTACTTTCACTTTCATTCATCATTTGAATTTGACATGTAAATTCACATTTGCCACCATTATCCAAATGTTGCCAAAGATCACGTTTAGCATAATCTGGATCTTCGCCACACATACGTGTTGCTTCAGCATCAGAAAAATTTTTTATACCTGCTAAACAACTAAATTTATAACGTATATAAACATATTGATTTTGTGAATTAATCCATTTAAATGTATGACATGGATATGCATCCATATGACGCCAACCTTTGATTAAAAGAAAATTTTTCGTCAATTTTATAACTAAATTATTCTCTTACCAACAGGTGTTCCATGGTCGGACCAAAACCAAGTATTAGCTAACATACTTTCAGGTACAAGTGACATAAAATCAAATGTTGCACTCCAATTAGCACGAAAATTATTTGGATTACGTTGTTGTGATCGTATAACATCAGGTCCTTGTGTTGGATCACGTACAAAAAATACCGGAAAATTTACAGATAATATATCATAATTTCCTTCATCAGTATAAAATTTCATAGCAATACCACGTGGATTACGTGCTGAATCAGGAAATTCTCGTCCATATGTTGTTGTTGAAAATCGTACCATAACTGGAGTTATTTTACCAATTTTTGATAAAAAATCAGCTTTACATAATGATGAAACATCACGTGTAACTTCAAAATAACCAAATGCACCACTACCACATGCATGTACTGCACGTTCAACAATTTTCGAACGATTAAATGTTTGTTGTTTTTCAAATAATATACCATCAGATACAACAGGATAACCATTAATATTAAGACAATGAGAAACATCACCAAGACGATAACCATTAACAGATGTTAATGTTGGTGATACATCATTATTTGATGTTAAAGGACTTAAAACAGATGAAACTTTATCTAATAAACTTGTACTAGTAGTTTGTTTTTCATTTTCTTGATTTATATTACTTTTAACAGGATGATCTAATTGACCAGATTGTGCATCAATAATAGTTGTTAAAGAACGTTTATCAACATTCATTGAAGTACCTTGAGCATCGGTTAAGATCTGAGGATGATCTCGACCAGCAATACGTTTCATAATTGATGAACCACCTTCCATTTCTTTT